CACGTGCAACATCTGTCGACGACCCTGACGGTCCCGTATCGGCCTCTCGAGTCACCTCAGAGCTCACCAACGAAGGTGACATCCTTAATAACTCATATCATTGTATAATAGGAGGATGATCGTAATACTCGATTCCGAATGAGAGTAAAGTAGTAGTAGTAGTGTGTGGTCCATGGATTACAAGGTGTGTGTGTGTGGCCCATGGGTTATGACGGTATGTGTGTCTCATGGGTTATGATGGCGTCTGTAACCCCATGGATCATGACGACGAGTTACCCTTAAACCAGTGCTGTGGACGTATTATAACCCATGAACTGAAACAGTGGATGTGGATATGCATAACCCATGGGCGAGAGTGACCCATATGGTCACCGGGTTATGTGATTCATATGTCAGTATGGTAGGTGAGATCCACCCATTAATCAGACCTCTTATTGTGTTTGACTGACAGATAATACCAGGTTACAATTGCAGCCCAGGAGTTAACATCAGGACAAGTGTGATGTATGAGCCAGCGGTAAGGGTTAATGTAACTCATGAGGCAGAATGATGAGTAAAAGTAACTCATGAGGCAATTTCACGAGTTAGTGACTAGTGGAACAGCATGATGGGTAAGTATAACTCATACACCAACAAGATGACTTACAGGAACTCTTGGGACCCCGAAAATGTGTATTGTACATGTTGACACAGGAGAGGAAAGTATATTACCTACAGTGATAGAAAGTCGGTGTGTGACCCATGGCACACATAGCATTATGTCTGATCTAAGTTAAGAACATTGTGTCTGCATGGTGTGAGTCTTGGTAAGAACAATATCTGTGATCCATTGGCATGTATAGGACATGTGGTTGCACATGGCAAAAAAAATAGTGTTTGCGGGTGGCGAAGGGCAAGAATGATGCCTTGGAGTGCGTGTAAACCAAGGATGTGATTGTGCGTAACCTACAAAAATTTAATGTTTGTGAAAGACCCACGGCAAGAATAACGTTTATGTATTACTCATGGTAAGAACACTGTGCGTGATCCACTGACATGCTCAGTGAGTTTGAGTGATTTATGGCAACAACGGCATTGGTGCGTGCATGTTGGGTAGATGTGACTGACCCACGAGCCAGCATGGTTGGTCGGTGTGTCCCACGAGCCAGCATAGTGGGGTGGGTATTATCCGTGAACGAGCTTGGTGGGTGACCTATGAACCACTTTGAAGGATATTGGCTACAAATATAGCAGATGAAATGTAAAAATTTGCAGTTCAACACAAGATGCGTAAATTTTTCAATTCCACTAAAACGATATATAGCCCAACTACTCATGGCGTGGCCTTCTCTGTGCAACTGTTGGTAACTCCCTAATTAAAGAAGAAGAAGGCATCCCTCAGCAATGGAAAGAGCACTACCATTCGTTGCTCAACCGAAGCAATGATGTGGATGTCCTGACTACCCAGCAGGTTCCTCCCACCCAGAGCAGACCCACCTCAGCAATCCTCCACCCCTGGATGAGGAAGCAACTGTCATCAAGCAAATGAAAAACAACAAAGACACATGGCTTGATGGAATCCTAGCCACTGTGTATAAAACTGCTGTCCGCAGCTGGCAAGTTTATCACCCGAATCCTCCTAAACAGACTTTTTCTTTAGGCGGAAACTTCCTCCCAGAATATCAATGTGGTTATACACCATCACATGGCACCACTGACTTGATCTTTGCTCCCCGCCTTCATTGACTTTACTAAGGCCTTCGATTCGGTCAACAGGTAAGGCTTATAGCTGACCCTGAGTCGTTTTGGGTACCCACCAAAAATCATTGCCATTGTGAGGCAAATCCACGATGCCATGAATGGCAGTGACCTGAACAATAGCACCCAGTCTGAGTTCTTCCCCATCTATATGGGAATAAAATGAGGATATGTACTAGCACCGACTCTCTTTTCCATTTTCTTCGATCCTTTCCTTACTCGTGCCAGTGCCGGTTTACCTGGTGGGGTGGACATCCAGTATCAGATGAAGGGACTTTTCAACATAAGATGACTCCAGGCAGACGACCTCACTCTCGTCGCTCAGAGTGAACACGAAATACAGGAAATCCTGAACACCAACACAGATGTGTGTGTGTGTGCACAATTTGGCCTTGAGGTGAATGCACGTAAGACTCAGATCTTCTTTCAACCTGTCCCTGGTTCAACCACACCTTCACCATCCATCCAGCTTAAAGCTCTCTCTAATGTTACCCCCTTCCAGTTCCTTGGCTCCCACCTTCTCCACCACCGTGTACATCGATGAAAAGATTCAGCATCGAATCAAATGTCCATCTCAAGCTTTTGGCAGTCTCCATACACATGTCTTCAAGTGTAGAGAACGAAAATTATCAACAAAGTTGCACGTTTATCGAGTACAGGTCCTCCCCACCCTGCTGTATGGGAGCAAAACATGGGGCACATACAGGAGGTACCTGAAGGCACTTAAAAACTTTCACCTACGTAGTCTTCGTTTGATCCTCCGAGTTCGCTGTTAAGACAAGAGATCAAATGCCAGTATTCTCCCTGACACCAATTGTGGAAGCAAAGAGGCTAACATTATCCATGAACAACTACGTTGGACAGGCCATGTTACCCGCATGGACGACATTTGACTGCCAAAGCAGCTACTTTACAGTCACCTAACGAATTGTAAATGTAACGCTGTCAGACAACGGAAAAGGTATAAGGATAGTCTAAAGACAAACCCGAAAAGTGCCAAATCGACCCTCTCAACTGGGAGACGTTCATTCCACGACTGGTTTAAGAATCAATCATGTGAAACACAAAAACTTGCAGATCAGCACAAGATGAGCGAATTTTTCAATTCCACTCAAACATTTTATGGGCCAATCATTCATGTCGCAGCCCCCCCTCCGCTCATCCGATGGTAACTCCCTAATTAAAGATGAAAAAGGCATCTTTCAGCGCTGGAAAGAGCACTACCATTCACTACTCAACCGAAACACCAATTTGGATGCCCTGACTACCCAGCAGGTCCCTCAGCATCCAGAGTTGACCCACCTCAACTATCCTCCATCCATGTATGAGGTAGCTATCGGATCAAACAGAAAAAACAACAACAAAGAATCAGGGCCTGATGGAATCCCAGCCGAGGTATATAAAGTAGGAGGACCTCTGCTTACTCGCCGTCTCAACTCTCTCCTGGAAAATATATGGGAAAAAGAAGAAATCCCCAAAGCTCCGAAAGACGTCTCCATCGTCAATATTTATAAGAACAAGGGAGACCGGTAAGACTGTGGCAACTACCGTGGGATCTCGCTACTCTCCGTAGCTGGCAAGATTATCATACGACTCTTCCTAAATAGAGTTCTTCCCGAGGCGGAATACTTCCTCCCAGAATCTCAATGTAGCTTTAGAGTTTAGACCATCACGTGGCACCACTGACATGATTTTTGCTGCCTGCCAGGTACATGGCCTTCATCGACCTAACCAAGGTCTTCGACTCGGTCAACAAATAAGCCCTCTGGCGGACCCTCAGCCGTTTTGGATGCCCACCAAAATTCATCACCATTGTGAGGCAACTCCACGACGGCATGAACGGCAGTATCCTGCACAATGTCACCCAGTCCGAGTTCTTTCACATCCAAACGGGGTAAAACAAGGACGTGTGTTGCCACCAACTCTCTTTTCCATTTTCTTGGCTGCCTTCCTTACTCGTGCCAGCGCCAATTTAGCCGGCAGGTGTGAACATTGAGTACTTGATAAAAGGGAGGGTCTTTTCTTTATAAGACGACTCCACGCAGGAACAAAGTTGTCGTTTGCTCCCATTACTGAACGTCAGTATACGACGACTTCACCCTTGTTGCTCACACTGAATGCGACCTACTGGAAATCGGGAACATATACGCAGATGCGTATGCATACTTTGGCCTTGAGGTGCATGTACATAAAACTCAGATTCGCTTTTAACCTGTCCCTGTTTTAGCCACTCCACCATCCATCCAACTTAACGGTACAACCATCTTTAATGATACCCACTTTCGGTATCTCGGCTCCCACCTGTCCACCACTGTGGACATCGATGAAGAGATTCAACTTCGGATCAGATGTGCATCTTAAGCCTTTGGTAGACTCCTTACCCGTGTGTTCAGCTTTAGGGAGGTGAAATTATCTATAAAGTTGCACGTATATCGAGCAGTAGTCTTCCCCACCCTGCTATATGGCAGCGAGATATGGAACACATACAGGAGGTGCCTCAAGGCACTTGAAAACTTTCACCAACGTAGTCTACTTTCCATCCTCCGTTGGACTGGCCATGTTACCCGCATGGACGACATTCGACTGCTACTTTACAGTCATCTATTGAATAGTAAACGTAACACTGACGGGCAACTGAAAAGGTATAAGGATAATCTTAAATCAAGCCTGAAAAGTGCCAAATCAACCCCCTCACCTGGGACACGATTACTACACACTATAACGCTTGAAGGAGCACCACACAAGGTATCACTACTTACGAGTTAGCCTGACTGCACACCGAGGCAGACAAGCGCCAACGCCGGAAAGATGGTGCCGCCGCCCCTCTCGCACTAGATGGAGCCATCGACATGTGCAACATCTATGAACGACTCTGACGGTCCCTTATCGGCCACTTTAGTAAACTTGAAACTCACAAACGAAGGTGGCGTTTTTTATAACTCATACCATTTTACTATAGCTGGATGATCATCATCCTCGATTCCGAGTGACAGCAAAGTAGTAGTTGTAGTAGTAATAGTGTGTATGTGTGTGAGTGCGTGTTGATAGACCGTGGTTTATGAAACTTCTTTGTTTTAGTTATATTAAATATGGCTTAAGTTTAGTTTACAGCTGCTTAAAGTTAACCGAGGATAGCCAAGAGGATCGTTTCAAATGAATCATTCGAGTATCGTTTTAGACTTTCCAAATAATAAAAATGATGTAAAGGAGTTAAGAAGTAAAATACTCGCCATCAAAGTGTAGTAATTTCTCTCACTTCAGGTGTAAGTCATAGGTTATTGACTACTAGAGGGAGTGAGTAACATAAACGATGTCGCCAGGAGTCGTCTTCTTCTGCTCGCTCGTCATGGCACACGTGTTCCCTCTGCCTGGTAAGTGTTACACCAGCGCAGTCTTACCTGCAAAATTACATGCCACATAATTTCTTGTTCAACTTATTGATCTCACTGAAGAAATGCGAGGCATTCTTAAGTTTGAAACAGATTTTTCTTGTTTTGATTTATTCAGTGACGGGAAAACAAGTGAGGGTGGTGAGGTTTCAGCGAATGGAGATGGCGTCTAATGACAGCTTCCTTGACAGCGGGGAGAACGCCTTCCCAGAGCTCTCTCAGGTACTTGGTGCTATATCCTTTTGATTTCTTTCCATATGCTATTATTTAATATATTTCAACATCCCATGATTTCATGTATTTCAGCACACTGTAATTTTCTCTATATCATTATGGTCCGATTTAATTTACGAAACAATGCTCTGATTCTATTTACCTATACAGCAATTATAAATAGTTTTAAGTTTACGGGCTAGTTAGAAACAACGTGTAGTAGCTAAAAAAGATATGTGGCAGGGTGGGTCCGACCCCAATACTTGTAGTCCGTGGTCTCATATTGTTTCAGATAGAGTATGCACAGATACTTTTTTTAGCTACTGCACCTGTTCATAGTGGACCTCCCACACACCGACTTAGTCACGATAAGCACAGTAAAATTTTTTCGTAAATTGGAGAATATTATGGTTTCTCCCCAAACAGACACAATTTGCCAAAGAAAAAAATATATTTTGACACACACACTCACACGCACACACACACACACACACACACACACACACACACACACACATGGTATGCACAATTTCTTATTTCATATCCTATCATGGTTATAAATTTTTTGTATACATTTATCAATTTTCTTGTACATAGAATATAAGTATAATTTGTTTTTGTTTTTATTGTTCTCTTCACAAAAATTACTTACGGTGATATAATGTGAAGATCAAATATTTTAATGGAATATCCTTCCTTCCTTAGGCTATAGTAAGCCCCTTTATAGTATTTATACTGTATATACTTGTGACACTTGCCAGATGCTTCTGGTGTCATTGTACAGGGGTACCTAGTGACAGCACTAGGATCCCGCTTCCTCTATCAAGGAATAAACAATTGAAATTGATTGAATTGATCAAATATTTAAATTCAAAATATTATATTTTCTTGATAAAATAATTGGTTTTCATTCATAGATGAGAAAGGATTAGTATTTATTTTAACTAAAAAACATCGATTAAAGTATCTTTAATCCATAAGAAGTCTTCTGTAAGCTCTGGAGGTTATATTTTCAGAGTACGTATAACATCCTTCACAATTGGGAAACAAAGATTCTGAGCATAGCAACCACGACTGTGAATATAACAACCACGACCATGATCAAAACAACCACGACTATGATTATAACAACCACGACCATGAATATAACAACCACGACCATGATTATAACAACCACGACCATGAATATAACAACCACGACCATGATTGTAACAACCACGACCATGAGTATAACAACCACGATTATAACAACCACGAATAGGATTATAACAACCACGACCATGATTATAGCAACCATGCCCATGAATATAACAACCACGAATATGATCATAACAACCACGACCATGATTATAACAACGACGACAATGATTATAACAACCACGACATTGAATATAACAACCACGACCATGATTATAACAACCACGACCACGATTATAACAACCACGACTATGATTATAACAACCACGACTTTGATTATAACAACCACTACCATGATTATAACAACCACGACCATGATTATAACAACCACGACCATGATTATAACAACCACGACCATGATTATAACAACACGACTATGATTATAACAACCACGACCATGATTATAACAACCACGATTATAACAACCACGACTATGATTATAACAACCACGACCACGATTATATATTAACAACCACGACTATGATTATAACAACCACGACCATGATTATATAACCACGACCATGATTATAACAACCACGACTATGATTATAACAACCACGACTATGATCATAACCAGGACTATGATTATATCAACCACGACTATGATTATAACAACCACGACTATGATCATAACCACGACTATGATCATAACCAGGACTATGATTATGACAACCACGACTATGATCATAACCAGGACTATGATTATATCAACCACGACTATGATTATAACAACCACGACTATGATCATAACCACGACTATGATCATAACCAGGACTATGATTATGACATCCACGACTATGATCATAACCACGACTATGATTATAACAACCACAACCATGATTATAACAACCACGACCATGATTATAACAACCACGACTTTGATTATAACAGCCACGACCCAATATATCAGTTGGGCAGGAGAAGAGCCACTCCAGATATGGGAGCAGTACTCCAAATTAGGACGAATGAATCCCTTATATACTTGAAGTAACAGCTCAGGAGTGAAGTAGCTACGGCATCTGTGCAGCATCCCCAGCTTTCGGGAGGCAGCTTTAGCAATGTTGAGGATGTGTGGCTTTTATGACATGTTTCAGAAATGGTGAGGCCTGGCATATTTATTTTATAATTTGGCAGAATGATAGCATCGTGAAATGTGATTGTTGGGAGATCATCTAATTTGGAAAGTGTAATTGGTAAATACTAAGTTTTATTAGTATTGAATTTAACCAAGTTTCTACCTCCCCATCCCGAGATGCTGATGAGATCCGCATGCATAGATGTAATGATATCAGCTCTAAAAACAGATCTAGCTCGAGAGTTAGGGGGAAGAGGAATGTGTGAAGAAGAATGAAAGAGTAGAATCATCAGCTTAAGAATTGATAGAATTAGTTTCAGTGTGACGTAAATCATTGATAAAAAGAAGGAAGAGAGTAGGTGAAAGAACAGATCCTTGTGGGACATCACTATTGGTAGAGAAAGAGTGACAACAACTGCCATGGATCGGTTCTCAAAGAAGGTTGAGATTAGAGAATAAAGTGGGGGAGTGAAACCATAAGAGGGAGGTTTAGAAAGCAAAGACTTGTGCCATACCCTCTCAAATGCCTTAAAGACGTCTAGGGCCCCGACGAAAGTTTCCCCATAATTCTTAGCAGAGGATTATCAAAGATGGGTTCAGTAGGAAAGCAGATAACCAGTTGATCTCGCATTGAGAAAGCCATACTGGTTATCCAACAAAAGAGAATGGCGTTCAAGGTGATGGAGAAAATGGGAGTTTAAGATAGTTTCAAAAATCTTAGCGAAGGATGACGTTATGGCAATGGGGCGATAGTTAGAGGGATTAGAATGGTCACCCTTCTTCGGGATGGGCTGAACCAAGGCATGCTTCGAAGAAGAAGGAAAAGGTTGGGGTTTTGAGACGAAGGTGAAAGAGGCGAGCAAGCACCGGGGCCAGAACTTCAGCAAACTCCCTCAGAACACGAGGGGGTATTCCGTCCTGCCCATGCGTCTTACTCGCATTCAACCTGGATAACACATCAGCAACCCTACTAGAAGAGATTATAGGAAAGTGCATAGGTTCAGTAGGGGTAGCAGGGTAGGAGGGATAGAGTTGGAATCGTCTAATATGGAGTTAGAGGAGAATAAGGTGATAAAGAGATTGGTTTTGTCAGTGGGTGAGTTGGCTATAAAGTTATCAGATCGAACAAGAGGGGGAAAAGATGGAGTGAAGAAGTTATTACAGATGTTTTTGGTTAAGGACTAGAAGAATTTACTAGAGGAAGAATGTCAGGACATCGGTCTTTCTTTTTATAAAATTCCGCTTGGCTCTACGAAGAGTAGCCTTACAACGATTCCTAGAAGTAATGAAAGAGGAGTGGGTAATAGGAGAAGGAGATAGTTTCATAGCTTGATTTGCCCTATGTCTCCCCCTGCATGCAAGAGAGCAGGAGCTATCAAACCATTATCTTAAAGTGAAAGTTTTGGTAGAAGCTAGGATAAATGCACTCATAATACCCTGTATAACCCCAGCAATGCTGTCAGCACATACTGAGGCGTCCCGAGTGGAAAAGCAACATTCATCCCAAGGAAAGTCGGTGAAGAATTATCGCAAGGATTGCCAGTTTCCCCCCGATAGTGCCATAGTTGACGTTTAGAGGGAGGTGGGGGAGGTGGTCGTGCCCAGTTTGATTTATAGAAATAAGATTGCGATCAGACGACCCTAAGGGAGCAAAAATTGGGTATGAATAGTCATCCCTTTCAGAGCCAAGTTACTCTCTGTGATGTACATTGAAATCCCCTGGGTAGAGAATCTCGGTGTTGGGGTGTGTGGATAGCAACGACTCATGACAAGATAGTCAAAGAGTTCCAAACAGTTGATAGAGTTGGGAAAACAGTATAGGAAACAAAAGAAAATAGTCATAGTTGGTAGAGATATTTTGAGCCAGATGACATTCAAGATCCCTGGGTCAAGCTATAGGTGTACGTGTGTTGCAGTAGGAGCATACACCTCCCTTAGAACGGAAAGAGGTATAAAGGTTGTAGTTGGAGAGAGACTTGAAAACGTTTGGGTGAAGCTGCTTTGGTCAGTTGAAGTTTCGGAAAGTAGTAAGAAGTCGGGGGAAGAGGTTAATAGATGGTGCTCTACAGAAGGAAAATTGGATCTCAGGCCGCGATTGTTGGAAAAATGAAGTGTGAAAAAAGCCGATCCTACAGCAACCGCGGTGGCGTCAGTTGAGGACCCATCCGAGAAGGCCCAGCTTCAATATTAATATCAACTGACATAGGAGAATAAAATAGAATGAATAGAACAGATCAAGAGTGAGTACGTTTATATTTGTTATGTTGTCAATAGTAAGAGAGACAATTGAGACCCTGCAATTGTGTATAAATGTGGCAGAAAGACAGATTAGCAACCTGGGACTTGGTCTCAATAAATTTTTGTGATGCCTTATGGTATCCGGGTCTACCATAAGTACCTCCCTGTTTGGTAGCTGCCTACTACCTACTACCTTAATAGCAATTATTGTGGTAACATAATGCTGTTTAGCTTCTTGTATGCGTTACTTGTAACATTTTATATATATGATTATATTTCCATGGTGATTATATATTTTATTTTATTAGCAATACCCAAAACACTCTCACATTGACGGCCATGTTGCAACCTAGTGATACTAGTGGTGTATTTCAGAGTCGTACCACATTTAAAAATTTTCAGTGCAGTCTAAAGAACAATCATCCCAAACTTGGTGCACAATCATGTCACTAATTTGCTCCACCACCAGTGATATAGTATTTTGTTAAGTGATTCGAAGCTCAATCATGCTTACATTATATCAAATATTAGCCTTAAGAAACTAATTCAAGTGAACATTGTATAACAGAAGTTACAATAATAGCCTTACCAACTTCGACACTCCCTCACCCTCAGTGGACTCTGTGTGTGCGGGTGCGACTGTTCCATTTAACTCGCCTCAACACAATCCTCAGCTACACCACCGGCGAGCACTACCAGGAGATTATGCTGGGTAAGAATTATTTTACTGAGTCAGCCTCTGCGTTGGTGTTGGCTCTGATGTGAGATCTCATTTTAATGTTTGGTTTGATAGTTAAATCACGGCAATGAATTGATGGCCAGTTATTTGGCTATTCTCAGGAATGTGTTAATGCTTAACTTCTGGTCTGACTTGAGATTTAAATTTTGGTCTGATTGAGTGAATATTCTAAAGTTTGGTGGGGTTTTATTTATGTCTTTGGTTACTTAATTTAGCTCTGACTTGAAAGATAAGTTGTGAATGGTGATTTACTGCTGTGTTTGTTGTGGAGCCCAAAGTTTGGTTTCAATTTAATATTTGAAAGTTGATTACGAGATTAAAGAGCCAGGAGGATAACAGTTAGAATTAATCCAAAAAATTTAAGTAAAAATTTAAAATGTGAATGATGAAGGTAAATAAGTAGAAATCCTAATTTGTTTGTGCTCTTTTCATTAAAGTTTATTACATTATTCTTACTTTTCTTGTGGTTATACGTATACCGTTTCTACATTGCGTATATTTAATGGTTAATTAATCTGCCATTACATTCAAATGAAATTTTCGTTCTTTCTTGTATGTGCTTCTAAATCTCGTCAGTGAATATATTTATTTCGTAGACTTTTTCGATCTGTAGGATTTGATTGGCCTCAGTCAAACCTGCGCCTGGAGTGTTGCAAGTACGAAGGGTTTATGGAGATGGCGGTGCCTCTCCGCCTGTACACTTGGCACCAATTATGTCTGTCTGCGGATATGGCCAAGGACGTCCAGTACATGATCTTTGACGGCCAGGTTAGTCACCAACTTTTTAATTATATAAAGACACTTCCTTAATGGATAAAATATGCTGCTTTTCCTTCAAAGACAGATGAAAAATATAAGTAAATTTTCAGCACCAGGTGATATAATGATGCCTAAAATGAAACTTACGCGTTATGAAATTTATTTATAAAATATCTTTTCAGGTGCATCAGCAGTTGATTCGTCGTCCCGGGGTTACACGTGAAAAACTTTACAGAGTTCGAGGCGGTGGTCGCTTTTATCTGGGAAACAACTACAACCCGGCATCTGAACTTATGGTCATCGAGACCTTCCATGGTGACCTGGCAGACTTCAAGTTTTACGATGTTGCTTTGTCCGTCGAAAACCTTAAGGCTTTTGCTGCTTGCCAACCAATGAATGATTTACCAACTCCTCTTTATGAATTTGATGTAAATATGACAAATTTAATGCCAAATGGTGACATCAACATATATCAGATGGATCTTGGGGACATATGCACAAAAACACCTGATCTAAATATGATCATACCCGAAAAAATTAATTTTGACACATCATTAACTATGTGTGGCTTCTTCACTGGGGGCATCATAGTACCCAATAATGATGAGGAAAGTGTAGCTATATATGACAAGTACGATGATTTCAACAACTATTGTGCAGATAGCTGGGGAACCTCGTTTTGGTTAGGCCTGAGGGCAAACCTAACAAGCAGATGGTGGACAAAAGTGTCAAACGGGAAACCTCTAACATGGGCCGATTTCGCCACAGGTTGGAAATACCCCACCGAGGAATACAGGTGCATGGCCTTTGGTTCCATTAACTTCAAGTATAAGTGGTGCGCATCACCCTGTGACATCCTCCAGTGCCCCATATGTAATTTCACATCAATCCCTCAGCTACACTTACGTGGACTTTGCGAGCTCTCGCAATTTGATCGCTACTACTATCCGTATGATTACTATAACAAAAAGCCAGTATTGGAAGGCCTTTTCTTGAGCAGAATGACTTGGATTAACGATACTTGGGTGATCAAGAGCCGCCTGGAAAATGAAGTGGAGGCCCGGATGAGCTCGAGGAACGCCGACGATTATCCCTTCGGTCTACATACTTGGAATGTGCAAGGCGACACCTGTACTCAGGAGCAGGTATGTTACTAGCGCATGCTTGGGTCTTCAGGGTTTGATGTTTCATTAGGTATTTTCGTTAGTTTCTCCCCTCAATATTTGTTTTTTTTAAATTTCGTTTAGATTTGCTTCACATCGGTAAAGATCAAAGCTGAAGTATTTGATAAAGAAAATATCTGCTAACTTATACAAAATATTTGTGTGTGTGTGTGTGTGTGATGCAATTCCTGCTTAGGTATATGAAGTAGGAGCACCTCCTCTTGACCACCTGCTTCCACTCTCTCTTGAAGAATATAATTATGGGAACACGAAGAAATCCCCAAGACCTCGTGAACAAGACAGACAGATTAGACTACAGCAACTACCGGGGGATATCATTTTGCCCAGAGCCGGCAAGTCTCACCGAACTTCTTAACAGACTCCTCTTTGGGGTAGAAAACTTCCTCCTGGACTCACAATGCAGATTTAAACCACTAACATGATCTTTGCTGCCCGCTAGATACAGGAGAAGAGCAGAGAACAACGTTAGAGCCTATGATCTAAAGATCGAAAAATGTACGTTTACCCCGAGTGGGGCAGGCAACCACCTGCACTACGCACGGAGGTCTAGAATCCGTTCACCCCACTTCATCTAAGTTTCAATCTTTAAATCAATTTGCCATACCCAAGAGGCCGCGTGTGTTTAATGCATGTATCAGCTACACCGAGATGAGGTGCAGGCAGCTGGGCACCCCACCCTGGGTACATTACCGACCGGGGGTACACGTACACGTACGTTTGGGCTTACTGTATACCTGGCCTTCATTAGGCTTACTAAGGCTATTGACTCATTCAGCAAGGAAACAGTTTGGTTATCCATCAAAATTATTCACGATTCTGAGGGAACTCCAGGACTCCGCAAAACTACAGGAAGATCAAAGACAATTTTTAGAATGGTCTGAAAAATGGCCGATGAAATTCAATGTGGACAAATGTAAAGTACTCAGTATAAGAGATGTAAACAGGGAAACCAGATACCAGATGAACAACGATGTTATAGAGAAATCCGACTGCGAGAGAGACTTAGGAGTAATGATAACTAGAAATTTTATGCCAAGTAAACGATGTGTATTTGCTCGAAACAAGGCGAGTAAAGTACTTGGGTTCATACAAAGGAGTGTTAGTTACAAGACTAGCGAGATCATCCTAAAACTATATCTTGCGCTTGTGCGACTTCACTTGGATTTCGCAGTTCAATTATGGTCACCGTATTACAGACTGGATATAGAATCCATAGAAAGACTTCAGAGGAGAATGACAAAACTAATCCCGGGCATTAGCAACCTTGAGTACAGAGACAGGTTAAAGCAACTAAATTTGCACTCCCTCAAGAGCTGTGGAGTGAGGGGCGATATGATCGAGGTGTATAAATGGAAGTCAGGGCTGAGCAAAGGGGACATTACAAAGCTACTCAAATTATCCAACCAGGAGCGAACTCGTAACAATGGTTTTAAATTAGACAAATTTAGATTAAGGCGCGAAATAGGTTAAACTTTGGTTTGGAAATAAAGTAGTGGACGAGTGGAATAAGTTACCAAATACCATCATTAACTCGAATACGCTGGATAGCTTCAAACGTAGATGGATATATAAGCAATAGGGGTTGGGTATAAATGGGACTGCCCAGTATGGGCCAATAGGCCCGCTGCAGTTTCCTCCATTCTTATGTTCTTATGTTCTTAAGTCTATGGAGCAGGAGGTCTTAAACTAATCCACAGTCTTGGGCCTTCTGGCTAAAGAGTGGTTGTAGTGGGGTGAGACACGATGAACAATACAAAAGCCTTGATCACATTCATACTAATGGAATAGTGGTGACGCAGTCACGACTCGCCTGGTCTCTTATTTCCTGTAAACAAACACTGGCATGGGTTGCCTGAGTAGTCCTAAAGCAAACCCTTGACATATACATGGGAAATGATTAAGCTACTGCATGCAAAAAAGTGAATACAATCTTAATATGTCAGCTATCTTGCCATTAAAGATAAAGTGTTGTGTTATTTCACACACAGTGTGCTTGGACCTGTCCCTAAAAGGATCTATCTTCACACAGTCGAGGACGTAGTATTCGAGTGTGTGGTCACATGTTTGACCACACATTTTGCATTTAGATTTGTTCACATTTGCTTTAGGGATATACTGCCAGAGGTACTTATATCCTAACCTTAGTCTAGCGGTTATATCTTGTAATCTGGTGTTCTTGTTACTTGCTCCATATACATGTTTCACTTGATACATCTCATCATGGTAAACAATGGGTTGACTAATGCCTGTTTGCACTTGTCTGATTGCATCAAATTCATCAATAAGTTCTTTCCTAATTACAGTTTTGAGGGTTCTTTTTGATAGACCCATATTGTATTCAGCAGTGACTTTGTTAGACGCGAGTTTGGCGAGGGCATCAACTCTCTCATGATTTTTGAGGCCACTGTGAGAGGGATCCACAGAGTTTGATCTTGACACCCCGATAAACAAGGTACGCATATTTTTATCTGGCTTCGGAGACAAGCGCGTGAAAAATTAAGTTGCATATCTTTAACTTCACTTTTGTAACCCTGAAATAGTGCAGCAGCCCTTCTGTTAGTGATGCAACTACTTATCCAGTGTAACAGACGACCTCCTATATCCATTTTGGCAAGTTCATACAATATATGTTGCCTATTGGCAATGTCAAATGCAGCCTTTAGGTCAAGAAATGTGGTGTGTCTGTGTCTTTCATCACCATATACAGCTAAAAGTGTACTGATGCAATTATGTACACCCTTACCATGGGTGAAACCATTTATGTTTGGGGACATGTGTTCTATGAGTCTATATAAGAATCTTCCATGAATCATCCTCTCAAAGGGTGGAACTGGGGTTTGGGATTAAGACTGTCTGAGACAGGTGCGAGTAGGGTGGTGCTCTTCTTCTGTGCTCTCCACTTAACTGCCTTCACTTATCCCAGAGTTGTTTTCTTGGCGTCGCAATATACAGTATGGATCACACACTTCTCCAAGTCATCGAGGATCTCTTTTGGGGCTGGGAGCTCTATGCCACACGATCTTAAAAGGTCACGTGCCTCTTTACAGCTTCTTGCTAGTGCTGTAGAAGACAGAGCTAAGATCGCATCCGTTGTGTTTAGGAAATGGAATGATGCAAGCCGTTATTTCCTCGTTGCATAGTCATCGAGCGGTTATGAGCTGCGTTATCCTCTTCGGACATAGCACTCCCAATATCTGCATAAACCTCTAACCAGAGGACGCTGTAGACGAAAGCATTGCAGTGTAAGCCTCTGCCTTGGAACAAGCAAACTATGGTGCAGGCTGGCCTGTACTGAGATTCTTTGCACTGACGCCAACACAGTAGATGATTTCGACAACAGATGTGTCTACAGCGCTCTAGAATCCAGCCTGCAGAAATGCCTACAAGCGAATCTTATTGTCTGCTTTGCCCAGGAGAAGATGGAAGTCTTTGATTGCAGGAAACTTAACTTCTGACTTAGTGTAAACATTACTGATTCCTGCACCCTTCTGTCACAGCATGCGCTCACAGTCTTTGACTGTGTGTTTCTGATTGTATGGGTCATTCACGCCAATGATCCGCTTGCTTATTTGTGTCTTGTCAGAACTGTGTACACCACCTTATCTTTATAATCTCCAGGTGTACTTGTTACCGTTGCCCGTCTCTCGATCTTCAGTGGTTGGGGCGGCCAAGAGCCAGATTAGGCCCTTGTCAATGATTGTCGTATATTTATCACGTTACTGTATTGGTGTCATCGTGAGTTTCTTTTGAAACTTGTTTTTCTGCACCTACCGCATCGTGCCTCTGGCGTTGAAGATCGAAAGACTCTCCTCTGTCACGAGATGCTGTTCAAGTCTGAGAGAATCACTCTCTTCGACTTGTCCAAGAACGGAAGCCATGGCTTTTGTTTCCATTTGCTCTGTATTTCCTTTCATATTATCATTGTCTGCGTTTTTGACTTCTTGGGTTATAAAGTTTTAGTGTTTGCTCCGCATGACTCGGTCATTCAGCGACTTTGCCTTGGAATAAACTCTCTCTTCTAAACACGCTCCCAATTTCCTCATGCTATCTTCCTTTGCAGATCTGAAGTCAGCACCGAGTGTTTCTGAAGCTGGAATTCCTGACTGCAGTGAACGAAGTGTCTAGTTGGTATGATCAAACGGATCGCAATTGAATTCAGTGAGACATACACTGAGATCTTGAACAGCTTGATCATCTGTCTTGATTTGACTCGCCACGGAATCGGCATACTTCATTTTAGCATTTTTTTTTTTTTGCGATCAGCATGACGATGCACGCTTGCCTTGTCCTCTTTCGGTTTGCGTTATTCATGTTACGAGTGATAGAAAGTAACTGTTTTTCGATGGATTGTGATTTTTTAAGATCTCGGAAGGCATGTAATTTGTATAAGGGGAAATGAGACCTCAAAACAAGAAAGAAAAAATAAATCCCTATCCATTTCCCCATGCTGAAATTAATAACCATTTTGGGTCCTAAGTTATACCATTTTTTTTTAACATGGCCTACAGCGGCTATCTCGGATTTGGAGGTCAAGATAACCCTAAACCAAAAATTGACCATCCCATCAGATTTCATACTTCAAAATTAGTGGAAAATTACCCCTTCTTCATGATTCTAGTGTATTTAGTTCAAGAGTTATCAACAGTCTTATGCCTGAAAAGACCACCAGCGACCATTTTGAAATTCACGCTCCAGCGGGGCTAGCCCCATATTTCAGAGGTACATAGGAGCTAAATCTTTTCTAAATACTGCACTCCAATGTAAGCAGATCAATAATAAAAAAACGGTAAGAACAAAATGGTCATCGGATCCATGAAAATGACTCTACTATGATGAAGATATCAGTTTAACCGGTGAGGTGGACATCCATACCAGATGAAAGAACTTTTCAACAAATGACGCTTCCAGGCAAGGACAAAGATGTTGGCCCCTTCCACCACAGAACTTAGATGTAGACGACCGCACCTCATTGTTCACACTGAATATGACCTACAGAAGATCCTCAACACTTCCGGGGACACTTTTACACGTTTCATCCTCGAGGTGAATGTACGCAAGACACAGATCCTGTTTCGTCTTCCCCTTGCTTCAGTTACACCTTCACGCCACTGCAGACAACGGTAAGGAGATCCAACGTTGATTCATGCGTGCTTCACAGGGCTTTAATAGACTGTAAGTATCTTCAGCTCTGGAGAATTAATGCTATATTTAGCTGACAGGAATTAGAACTTTCAGTAAAGCTACTCGTTTATCGAGCCGTGGTCCTCCCTACCCTGCTTTATGGCAGCGAGACATGGATCACACACACAAGAAAAACCTGGAGGTGATTTACAACCGTAGTCTCCGATTTATCTGCCGAGTACGCCAGATCTTCGCTGACACCTACTGTAGGAACAAAGAGGCTGACATTTTTCACTCAAAATAATTTGGATAGACCACTACCAAGGTAGCAACTTTACTACCACTTAAAGAATGCTAAACGTAGTGCTGGCTAGCAACGGAGAAGGTATAAGGACAATTTTAATGCAAACTTGAAAAAGTATCAAATGACACTCGCACCTAGTAAACCATTGCTTCCAACTGTGACGTTTTGAGAAGTGTCGCACGAGAGGATGCTAAAACCTAAGAGGCTGTTCGACTACACGCCGAAGCGCACAAGTACCAGCGTTTAAGAGACACGGATGCCGCCCTTTCCATAATAGATGTAGCCCTCAACCCTTGCAATTTCTTAGAACAACCATGCCGAAGCCGTATTGACCAATGAAGGTGAAACCATTGAAAATTCTTGTAATTTTGTCATCGCTGGATTATCCTCATATGCAACTCCGAGTGACAACAAAGAGAGAAAGAGTGCGTGCGTGTATGATAAATTTTAATTTATTAGTTGTAAACATTACATAATATTACACCCATTTAGGGCTTATGAAATATTAAAGAAGACGAACACTTCACTAAGATGGAACGACGCTTCAATGAAACCAAAGGCTAACTCAGTGACCCAGTCAGTATAACCTGCATTTAAGATAAAGAAATTACCAGGGCCTTCAAATGGCTGTCACACAGAGAAATTATAAATCTTTCAAGATGTCTTGTTAACAACGGAGCTGTAAGATATCACTGATTGCTCGTAATAAGCTACATATACCCACCCTGATTTTGTCTAAACAATATTCAAATGTGTGCATTACTCGTTATCACATGCCCTTGGCATTTTAATAATCTCTTTCCTCTTCTAAGACTCCATGCACGTACTTATAATGCAAGAGAAACTGAAGGAATTTCCCCGTGTTAGAGATTAGTATAAGGGGAATACTATTACAACAAGAAAGGTTCCTCACTTTAGACACATTTATTACTTGCTGGAAAGATATTCTGCAGATGTACTGTATGTGGAAACTTTATGTCAAAATGATGGACATAACAGTGCCAAATTATCTTTTAAATCTCTTAAAGTTTTGATAAAAGATCCTTGCTGCTTATGCCTTGATACATCTGATTAACACAGCTAAAACAGCCAGATTAATCCCGCCAGGAACTCCATTGTTAGCTCAACAAAATCCACTAACCTTGTGACGGTTCTGTTAACTTTGTGGAGAGTTTTACTTATATGGGTCAGATTGTAGCTAAAAATAAATAAAAATGTAATGATAGCAATATTATTGATCAGTTTAGTGTTTTCATTGTGGTAGAAAATTACTATTCCTTACAATGTCGTGCACTTGTCAAGTTATTGTGAAGTGACTGTAAATTGTCTGGATGCACTAAGAAGGCCCAAACTGCTCAGTTTAATGCATACGGTGAAGACATCTAACAGTACACTGATTGTTACACTGATGCAAAGGTGTACTGGTTCTCCGGGTTTACTGGAGGTGAGAGTGCAGACTTCAGCCACCGTTATCAATGCCTGTTTTTATGACTTTTTATCATATAAAATACTGCTAACATTATTATTACTGTATTTCATTATTATTATTAGTAGTAGTTCTAGTAGTATTAATAGTATAGTAGTATGAACTGCGCTACAGGATTTGTCTGAATTTACTACAATCAGGTACAGTTGTTGCTGACTTCGTGTGAACCGTCTGACTTCACATGCAGTGACGGGTCATGCATCAAGAAGATCAAACGCTGTGACCAAGAGGTTGACTGTCCAGATAACACGGACGAACTTAACTGTGATGTTATCAAAATACCTGAGGGATATTCAGCACAACTTGCCCCACCGGCAGTAGATTCCCCACAGTTATCTCTACACATCTCGCTCGACATCACCTCAATCAGGGATTTTAACATCCTGGGATTCATGGTGGCAGTTGACATCATTCAAAGTATCAAATGGAAAGACGCGAGGCTCATCCTGAGGAACCTCCGCCAAGGAGATTTTCCCAACGAAGCAAAGGTTAGTGTGTGTGTGTGTGTGTGTGTGTGTGTGTGTGTGTGTGTGTGTGTAGATATGTGTACTATCTTTGTTGCCTTAAGCTGATAAGAAGACAAATTAAGTGTACTTAAACAGTATATCATTTGTGTGTTGTGTATTCTAGAGCTTTGATAAACTGTGGCTGCCGGACATCCTGGTGAAGGATGGGACCTACAGCCCTACCGATCTGCAGATCAGACGAGTGAGGATGTTGGTGCGCCGAGACGCGAATTCTCTGCCTGATGATGATTCCAACTATTCAGAAGGTTTGAAAAGTGTCCCATTTGCTACCCGCTTTCGATCTTTGTTAATGTTTATTAATGTTGCCGTCTTTCCTCGAGAAGGAAAGTCAGAGAACTAAGAGTGATCTGAGTGTATGAGTCTGTTTTGTCTGTGAGAGTTTCAAATGACGTGAAAGAATAGGATAATAAGGATAATACAAGAGGAAAGTGGTAGTACTGTACAGTGAAAAAGTAGTAACGATAGTAGTTAAGACAATTATGAGACTTGAAGACTGTGGTTCAGAAAGTAAGGTTATTCGTGAAAATGGTGGTGGTGCAAAAAATTGGAGAAGTGGTGTGGTTAATCTCTTATCTGCAGCTTGTTAACCAATTGTCGCATAATGAGTCCTCGTCAGTATCTTGAAAGTTTTGACTCTCGTGATGCTTTCCAATATAATCTTATGACAGGTGAATTTCACACGATGTTTATTTGTGAAACACTGAAGTTACTTCCCACTTGGTGCAGATGAACTGTACCGCGGGATGAACAATACTGTGAAGCTGGAGCAGCAATACACAGTATCAGCTATGTGTCAGTTCCTTCTTCATGCCTACCCGTTTGATTCCCAGAAGTGTTCTATAGTCTACTCCATCCCAGACCAGTCGGTGGGAAAAATTTTACTGCTTCAGGTAAGTTGAAACTCACTTGTTGATTAACCGTGTTGGAGATGTTGAATTGAATTGAATTGAATTGAAACATTTTATTTAGCCAGAAAAATACAGATACAGAGTGGATAGATATAACAATATTAACATGGCTGATCCAGTTCAGAACCTGAGCTCTCTTTGAGGCACCTGATATATACTATACATTTATCTTAAGGAAGTATTATGTACCATTTAGTATCATCTGGAAAAGTACAATAGCATGGTGGTAATAAGTACATATCATTATGTTACCACGGTTATCACATCAATATTTATTTATATTATTATTTATTATTTTTATTTATTATTTATTTATTTATACATACATATACACATACATATACAGTACATACATACACACACACACATATATATATATATATATATATATATATATATATATATATATATATATATATATATATATATATAATCAACCAGCAAAGAATCGAACCCTCGACCTACTGGGTGGGACTAGGTTCGACCTACTGGGTGGGACTAGGTTCACGGCGCCATCAGCTCGATGAACAGGCTTTGTGTGAAATATAACAGAGTCTAGAACTGCTTTTAGTGTCCTTGTGGCCTAGCCGGTAAACGTCCCCTAGTCCCACCCAGTAGGTCGAGGGTTCGATTCTTTGCTGGTGAGGTCGTTGATTATATGTTCAAAGTCCGCGTGTTATATGGACTAAAAATGAAGTATATATATGTACCTCGCGTTTCATACCAGCTGGATTCGGTAAAATGCTACTGACACCACATACGAGGCACGGGCAGTTTCCCAATGAGGTTCACGGCGCCATCAGCTCAGTGAACAGGCTTTGTGTGAAATATAACAGAGTCTAGAACTGCTTTTAGTGTCCTTGTGGCCTAGCCGGTAAGCGTCCCCAAGTCCCACCCAGTAGGTCGAGGGTTCGATTCCTTGCTGGTGAGGTCGTTGATTATATGTTCAAAGTCCGCGTGTTATATGGACTAAAAATGAAGTATATATACATATATATATATATATACATATATACACATATACACACACATACATACACATACAGATATACATATAGATTAGAGTGGAATTTAAAAAACATAAGTATAATGGGGGAGCAGTACAACCTGGGTTGTGCAGAAATAAGGTTGAACAAGAGGACAGAGCTTTCAGGATTATGTCTAGTTGGCAATTATGTGTATTGCAATGGTAATTACTTATATATTTACATGATAATTTCCGATAAAACGGATTTGGTGGTACAATAAAAGCAGGTACTGTAAATATAGTAAGTGTTACAAGAAATATTCATACTTTGACAATAGATATTTTTTTAGAGATGATTTAAAGGAAGGGAGCGTAGTCTTTGCTCGGATGGGTGGGGGTAAGTTGTTCCATACCTTCACGCCATGATATTTTATGGAGGTCTGGGACTGAGAGGAGCGCATGGGGAGTGGTCTTAGTCGCTCTGGGTGCCTTAAGTTGTATCTCTGATTATTCTGGAACTGGAAGTAATTATTGTCAAGCAAGTGATTGATAGATTTGTAAACAGAGAGGGCACAGCAGTAAGTGTTAATATCTTCGAATTTTAAAAATTTCAATATAGCAAATTTTTCGTTTGTGTGATCTGTTTTTTTGAAGTAGGTCATTGTCCGTACAACTCTCTTTCGTGCAGTAACCAGAGATTGTGTTTTTGAAGACCCAGAGGCCCCCCATAGTGTGTGACAGTGTATCAGGTGTTGGTAAACTAGATCATGATAGATTTCTTTCATTGCTGTGAGAGTGAGTGACTGTCGAGTGTGATACATGATACCGCACTGTTTATTGATTTTACTGTGAATGGCTTGTATGTGGTTTCTCTAGTTAAGTTTCTCATCAACAATAACTCCGAGGAATTTGGTATTTTGTTCGCAATTGAGGACTATATTACCAAGGTACAGGGGGTTTAAGTCTGGAGGTAAGTTTTTTCTTCTGTGAAAGATCGTGTAGTGGGTTTTCTCAAGATTTAGGGTCAGTTTATTACGTATTACCCAGGTCCCGACTTTAGTTAATTCAGTGTTCATAGTTCTCATCAAGGAATGGAGGTCTGAGTTGCTGGCAAAGAGATTACTATCGTCTGCAAATAAGTTGTATTTTATGAGTGAGCTGGCGTGGACTATGTCGTTTATGTACAACAAAAACAGTACTGGACAGAGAATTGAACCTTGGGAGACTCCATACAAGATTGGCGAGGAGTCAGATTGCTAATTCTAATAGCAGACAGACTGAGTCCTGTTGGACAGATATGAGGTAAACCAATTGTGGGACAGGCCCCTAACGCCGTAATGTTCAAGCTTTGAAAGGAGGATGGTATGGTCGACAGTATCGAAGGCTTTAGAGAGGTCCAAGAATATACCGACTGTGAACTGACTGTCATCAAAGGAATTTAAGATGTCATTAGTAAAGGATAGCAGAGCACTCTCAGTTGACCTTTTAGCTCTAAATCCAAACTGGGAGTCTGTAAAGATGTCATTGGCATTGCAGAAGGAATTTAGTCTGTTACATGCTAGCTTTTCCAGTATCTTACTTAAGGCTGGGAGGACTGATATGCCCCAGGGGCGGTAGTTCTTGAAGAGACCTTTGTCCCCAGATCTTTTATATGCCGGGTGGACTTAAGCAATTTTCAGTTTATCAGGAAAGACACCACTAGTGAAGGAGGAGTTACAAATGTGGAGGAGAACAGGTAGTAATAAGTGGGACACTTTTTTAATGATGCTCATTGGTATATTGTCTTCGCCTGCTGCTGCATCTTCGGACATTTTTTTGATGGCCAGTAATTCATCTGCTGTGACAGGGAATAAGAATAGTTCATTTTGCTGTCTGTTTTGCAGGTAGGCTCTAAATTCCTCATTGTGATCAGGGATGCTCTCTGCAAGATTTTTGCCAACATTAATAAAATATTCATTGAAGTGGTTGGCAATGAGGGAGGGTTCTGTTATAACTGAATCGCTTATCATAAAAGCTGAGTGGGGAGCCGAAGGCTGAGTGTTCCTGTTCTGAATAGAATTTATGACATTCCAGGTTTTCTTACTGTCGCCTGATGCTGACTGGAGCTTATTTGTATAATAGTTACGTCTGGCATTTCTAACTGCTTGAGTTACTCTATTTCTGATACTTCGGTAAGCATCACCGAAAGTTATGGGTCTCTTTGCAAATTTCCATTGGAGTTTGTGTTTTTCCTTTATCATTATCTTAATTTCGCTTGTGATATAGGGTTTGGAAATGGATACAGTTTTCACTGACCTAGTCTTGAGCGGGAAGCATTTATCAAGGCAAGCATTGAAGATGCTAGAGAAGTTACAGCTGTTCACGTTAAGGTTGTTGGAGGCATAGACAAGATCCCAGTTCGCATTCATTAGGTTGTTTTCAAAAAGGAGCATGTTGTCGGCGCAGTAGTCTCTGTATTGAATTGAGACTCTACTAGACCTTCAGGTCTTGTGGCTGTTTTATACATGGCAAAAACTGGGAAGTGATCTGAGATATTGTTAAAAATAAATCCACTTGCTAGGTTGTTAAGAGTGTTGCTAGTCCAGATATGAGCTATCACAGTGGCAGAGATGGCAGTTACTCTAGTGGGTTTAGTTATAGTGTTGAAGAAGAGTTTAGAATGACAGGTAGCAAGAAGGTCTAATACTGAGGTGTCGGTTTCTGATTTTAATAGATCAAGGTTGAAATCTCCTGTGATGTAGCAGTCTTTCCTCTCTGAACTTATGACAGAGATAAGCTCCGAAAATTTATCAAGAAAATTCCTTACATTAGTGTGGGGTCTTCTGTAGATTATCCCTACTACGATATTTTGTGTGTCGTTACGTAATTCAATGAAAACACTCTCCATGTACTCCTCCTGAGCCTTTAAGTCATCTCTTACAGAAGTGTCATACTTGATATCAACATATAGGGCGACACCACCACTGTGTCGTGACGTGTTGACGCAGTGTCTATTGTAATTAGGAATGTTATACAAATGGTCAATATCGTTAGTGAGTTTGGTCTCACAGAATCCAAGTACATCAAATTTGTGGGCAATAGAAGATAAACACTGATCTAAAAAGGTATCTAGATGAAGGGGAATACTGCTGATGTTATGGCTAATCAAGGAGAAGGAATGAGGTAGTAGGAGACTAGAACTAAACTCGGGAGAGTCAGGAAAGTAATAGTTACAGTTGGGGTTGGTGTAACCCAGTGAGTTTTGTAGAAAGACATCAGGATCGATATGAGGGAATATTGTGTCGACACCATGGGGAAATGGGGTGTAACACTTACGATCCAGCACATCTAAAGGAATGACATTATTGTGGGGACATTGATACTGATTAAGGAACAGTACAAACTCAGGGTCACTGAGGTGTGAAAAAGGAAGATCTAAGAACATTATAATAGTGGGGGGGTAACGTACTCACAAGTGCTACAACCAACAGAATTAGGATGACTGTTGAGGGTGATTCCCAGATGGAGTGGGAGGTGCTCCTGTCACTCGGGTTTGAGGGTTGCTGGTTTCCACCACAGAGGGTAGACGTGTAGTACTTGAGTTGGCCGACAGGGGGAACTCGGTAGGAGAGAGTTCTCGGGGCTTTGGGGGTTGGTACAGCGGGTGGGTGAGTGGGCGGGTGTCCACTTGCGGTACCGTTCTTGCCTCGCAAGCGAGATGTCACGGGTTCGATTCCCGGGCCGGTGGAAGTTGTTTGGACTTACTTCCTTGCCCCCATTAGTCCCTGTTCACCTAGCAGTAAAGTAGGTACCTGGTGTAAATCGAAAATTGCGAATTCGTATTCAGGGAAAGTTGTTGGAGCTTCCAATAACTTCATGACATAAAACCACTGACTCTTCAGGCTTCTACGCCCTTGACTCTTCAGGCTTCTACGCCCTTAACTCGTGAGACATAAAGGCAAGCATGAACTTAGCATGCTTCCCTGTTGGGCGCTGTAAACGCTTCTGCGCTTCACCTTACACAAGGATGTTAGGGGGTGCCCAATAAATATTAAAAAAAAAAAAAGTACTTAACTGCCTCGGCACGTAGTAGATCTAACTCAACCTTTTAACACCTTCTCGTGCGGTACTTTTCCAAAGTAACAGTGTGGGTGATCGTTTTCCAGGTGAGTGTTAATCAGACACTTTTTAGATTAGTCTTGATAGAATCTTCTTGCCTTTTCCGTAGCCCGCCAGCACTACGTTATTCATTCTTTAAATAACTGTCGAGTAGCTGATTTGGCAGTCTAATTTCGTCCAGGCAAGTATAACGTGGCCGACTCCATAGCCACACATCTCTTGTCGCTAAACTTTGCGGAAGTTTGGAAAATGGTAACATTGGTGTATGAGTGCTGAGCTGGAGAATGGCTGCAGTAGAGTTGATTTACAAGGAGAGACAGATGAGAAGCTGCAACTGCCCATTTTGGCTCTCCATTTTACTGATATAGTGGTGCTGGTATCGGCAACTACTGGTGTGAACAACAGCTGCAATGGACTGTCGATAACCCAATTTGTTCGGGTACATTAAGCATTGCCATCATCCAGCGTTGTTGGAAAAAATAACACACACACACACACACAAATAAAGAAATAATCACTATTTTTTGCTTTCGCGATATCGTTCTCAGCAATGTACTCTCCCCCATATTGTTCTCTAATCTCGAGCTTCCTTGAGAACCGATCCATGGTAGTTGTTGTCGAGGGATCGATCTCTCGCTCTTTCTCTACCAATAGTGGTGTCCCACGGGATTCTGTTGTTTCACTTACTCTTTTCCTTCTTTTTATCAATGATTTATTTCACATAACGACTAATTCTATCCATTCTTACGATAATGATTCTACTCTTCACTCTTCTTCACATTTTCCCCTTCCCCCTAATTCTCAAACTAGATCTGTTTCTAGAGCTGATATCATTTCATCTATCAATGCGGATCTGTGCAGCATCGTCCGAATGGGGAGGTAGAAACTTGGTTAAATTCAATAGTAAAAAAAACTCATTATTTACCTATTACGCTTTCCAAAATAAAGATTTCCTCCAATCACATTTCAGGATGCAATCATTCGACCAAATTTTAAAATAGATATGCTAGGCTTCACTATTTCCTCTAATATGTCATGGAAGCCACATATCCACAACATTGCTAAAGCTGCCTCCCAAAAGTTGGGAATGCTGTACAGATGCTGTAGCAACTTCACTCCTGAGCAGTTGCTTAAAGTTTATAAGGGATTAATTCGACCTAACTTGGAGTACTGCTCTCATATCTGGGGTGGCTCTTCTTCTGTCCAACTATTAGATAGGGTGGTATCAAAGGCATTTCGTTTTATTAATTTTCCTCCTTTCGTTGATAATCGCTCTTCCCTTTCTCTTGACCTCAATGTTGCTTCACTCTCTCTCTCTTTTACAGGTACTTTAACGGGCAATGTTCGGTGGATTTGGCATCCTGTGTACCACCGGCAAGGCCGTGGGCTCGTAACACAAGTCTTGCCCGTGGTGCTCACCGTTTCTGTGTGGATGTCGGTCACATTAGTATAACCCGTTATAGTACCTCCTTCTTTCCTCACACAGCCAAACTGTGGAATGCTCTGCCTTCTTCTGTGTTTCCATACTCATACAATCTGCCTCACTTCAAAAACTGGTTTTCCGACATGTTCGTGGTGTACAGTACATTAATATAGTCCTTTTCTCTTTTATTTTTAATTTCTTTTTACTCTTAGTTTTCACCCCCATAGGCCCCGATGTGGGTCGATGACCTGTGTCCGGGTGGGCACTTCCCTGTGAAAACAAAAATAAATGAATAAAAATATATCTACTCTCACCTTCATTGTCACAAGATAACATTATCTTAAAAGGTAATATTCTTATAGGTTATCGAATAACATAAACAAACAGTTTCCTTAGTTTCCCGCACCGTAAAACTCGGACCCAAGCTTCTTCCTACTGCTCTCCATACAACCTACAACCTTCGCCTGTTTCACTCTTAATTAAAGAATCTTGTTTTCTTTGAAGTTCGACCTTATCCTTCTTATAATTCTAACTCTATCTTCATTTTAGAGAGCTACTTTGTGGCTATTGGCTACCCCTTCCACTGTAGTCCTTAATTCAACTGAACAGAACTTCACACTATCACTCATTACAGGAGGAGGTGAAGTTCACAGGGGAGCGGCGGCTGCTGGAGTACGAGCTGGTCAACGAGACGCTCACCGCCCATGGTAACATGTCTGCCGCCGTCCAGGTAGATCATACTCTATGATTGTTGTCCAAAGTGACGGATTTAATGAGTATATCAACAGAGAATAAGATACACACACACACACACACACACACATTCAGTGAAAAAAAAAGCTTGTTATTCAACTGAAAAATTCGGCAAGGTAAAGAGATCAGTGTTTTGACCAATAAGGAGGATCAAAATGATGAAAATACAATACTGCAACGATGCTCTGATGATTATACATAGCGTTTAAACATATTCTTATTCCCTGCACAGATGTCAGGGAGCCGTGTATAACTTCTATAACTTTACGGGTTCCATTGATGCTTCTCCTAGGGTTCATTTGTCTGTTGTGGTAACAGTTGGTTTCCTTGTCAACAGCTGCGGTTGGTGTTCCAGAACCAATATGGTTATTACATCGGCAACGCTGTGGTGCCCAGCTTGCTCATGGCCACCATCTGTTACCTCACCTTCTTCTTCGACCTCGACGACTTTACGGTTAGGATATATATATACATATGTATATATATATATATATATATATATATATATATATATATATATATATATATATATATATATATATATATATATATATATATATATATATATACACATATATATATATATATTTTTTTTTTTCTTCCCACGGTGATACAAGCTTCGTCTTCAACTTACTGAGATTTACTTTATCACAGGATCGCATAATGGTCTCACTGACGTCCCTGCTGGTGCTGGCGGCGCTCTTCACACAGACCAGTCAGTCCATCCCTAAGACCGCCTACCTCAAGCTTATCGACATTTGGTACGTCACCCTCATTATCGCTGACTTCCTCATCATCGTAATGCTTGTGGTCATCGAGAACCACAGGCTGCATGAGTCAATCACAGGTGACTCGTCAAGCCGTGTCTTTCATAATACACATAAGATCACTCCTGTAGAGTCTGCTGGACATCTCACACCCGCTAAGGACTTCGATGACAAAAAGAATGGATCAAGTACAGCCAGGAAGATGAACACAATATCTAAGTGGTCATTCCCAGTGTTGGCAACAATAGGATGTTTCTGCTGGATACTGCTACACCTCCAGGCGGCCCCGACCTCTCATGGTATATATGCATAACCGTTCACATACTTGTAGTTTCCGTACATGGGTAATAAATGTACAGTAGATTATGCATATCCTAGAAGAACCAGTGCAATATTGATGCCTCTGCTTTCCAGTTCAGACCTTCCGTATTCTTTTCCCAATCACCATTAATATTTGGAATAAACGGATACTGCGCGGATTCAAACTAAGTAATGACCATAGTCGGCCATGAAAATTTTTTGAGCTAACAAATATATTAAATAAAACCTTACGTCATTCAAGTGACCAGATATATTCTTCTTCTAATGAAATAATAATTAATTCTAGCATCATCAAAACTGTTACATAGTATATATCTGTTAAATAGCTCATTTAAAAGTTAGGAAAATAGTGAAAACATATGAAGATTCTACAGGCTGGGTCGCTTATATCACGAGCCCTTGAGCCCTTTACAAAATATAATTGTTATAGCTTCTCAATAGACACTGAAAATCCGTTTTATCATGAATAATGTGCTTGGGCCTCTGGTAACTTCTCTCACTTTAGAAACAGAATTCGCAGAAATTTCAAACCGACATTTAAATTTTAAAAGTCGGGCTTTGCAAAAAAAAAAAAAAATGTAATATGAGCGAGACTCCTGACCACCATGGGAAGGAAAGTACAGGGACAAGGTATTCTCTCTCTCTCTCTCTCTCTCTCTCTCTCTCTCTCTCTCTCTCTCTTGCCTAACAGCGATAACTTCAAGGTAATATTTGTAAACTTCTGGCTGGTCATAGGCGATGATGTAGATCAGCCTAATACATATAAATTAATAGTAATAGAAAACCTAACCTAACTTAATCTAATTTCGATTAAAATTTTTAAAGCAAACATAATTATTGTTCTTATACGAAAGTTATCCCTAATAGCCTAATTTTAATTAATTCGACTCATAACAGTTCACAATTCCATCTGCTCCGGTCTGCCTCAAGAATTAATAGAAATACTCCTTTAAAAGTTTATCTGAATACGAAACTGGTGTGAACATCAGACCAAGAGTGTATATGTGTAGACCTGTGAACTGTAAGGCCTGTGAGGAGTGGTACTTGCCAGTACACCGTCCCACTTAAAAGTAATTTGCTTGTTGTTATTTAGAGTCCCGTTGTTATTAGCAAGATGACTGAGACTGTCGATAATATAATTGATGTCTACCTTAGTTTCACGTCTTCCATAAAAGGGGGGCTAATTATACACAACACTGGTGTGTATGTACAGTGATAGTTACAAATCTTCTTTACATTTGTACAGATAATTAGGCTGGCCCCATTATCTAGTACTGAAGAGATCCCGGTGTGAGTCGCTCTTGAACTGAGGCAAGCTCCGTGTTAGGCGAGCTCATACTGAGGCGGTTCAGTGGTAGATGTCTACTCTATGGGGTCCAGCCAAAGACTAACTAAGGGGCCCGGCGTTTTGCCAAGCTCGCTACTAATGTGATCTATGAGTCAAACTTCTAGAAGGTTCTCGAAGGAGGAAGTAGTCACCTCTGTGAAATGTCAAGCCGACCACAGGTCAGCGGTGTTTACATTACGTTTAAAAATAACCGGCTGGAAATGATCCCGTTGACCCATGAATCACTCTTAACTGGTGGTGCATTCTCTATATACATATATAATTATCTAACTATCTAAAATACTTGACGCATTGCAAGTGTGAAGCAAAGTATCTAATTACTGAATATGAGCAATCAATTCAGTGTTCAAAGAATTCCTTATACTCAGAGGGAGAGTTGCATCATACTTCGACACTCAGGTAACTCAAAACATCCCTGCAACTGAAGCTGGGTGTTTTGTCTTACGCCAAGCGCTATAACCTATGAACAACCTTTACCCTCTACAGGTCATTGAATAATGAATGTTCATAATTATACATCCGTGGTTGTAAGTCGGGTTACATACGTATATGGGTGTGAACCCATGGATATGGTGTGTGTGTGTGTGTGTGTAATAATAATAATAATAATTAACGGTTTATTGAAAAAGTTCTGCAGCCCGAAGGCTGAAAATATACATTGGGCATAAATGACTTATTACATACATTGGTGGTTTAACAAAAGCCTTCATTAGAGAAAGGTAAAGGAACATACAGTGAACATACAGATTATTGTAGGTGTTGAACAGCAAAAACGTAGTGTAGTAACTCCCTCCCAGATGGTGTTAGGAGGGACCTCACGTGGTGTAGTAGTTCCCTCACAGATGGTGTTATGAGGGGCCTCACGTGGTGTAGTAATTCCCTCACAGATGGTGTTATGAGGGGCCTCACGTGGGTAGTAATTCCCTCACTGAGGGGCCACGTGGTGTAGTAATTCCCTCACAGATGGTGTTATGAGGGGCCTCACGTGGTGTAGTAATTCCTTCACAGATGGTGTTATGAGGGGCCTCACGTGGTGTAGTAATTCCCTCACAGATGGTGTTATGAGGGGCCTCACGTGGTGTAGTAATTCCCTCACAGATGGTGTTATATGAGTGAGGTGTGGTTCCAGGCCTTCCTATCGTAGACGGATTAACACATCGCTGGTAGTTGGGTCTCACGGGCCGTTATCACTGGGTACCTGGGACCTCACTGTGTGAAAGGTCAACTTGGGTACCACTGTTACTGTTGAGTTGTTCTCACTGACTTAAGCACTGTTCACCACTGTTCACCTCTGTTTAACACTGGTTCCATTTCTTTCCTAAATGAAATAGTAACTTCTGGCGTGAACTTGTTGATATTCCGGTGGGGAGGAGGGTTCAGGGGAGGGAGTTGGTATGGGCCAACATAACAGTTGACCTGGCTGCTCCGAGAGGAGCGCCAGGTACGTCTTGACCCTTCGGTGGTCAAGGATGTAGTGTGTGTGTGCGCGTGTGTGTGACACGGCGCAAAAAGTTGTGTATATACTATAGCTGTATTTTTAAGAATAAGTAATACATACAGTTTACAGGAATGCATATAAGTCCTGCATCACAAGGAATATGAACAAAATAATTATTCAGTTTATTGTTCAATATTGTTCAATAAATATGTAAGCTTTAAAAAATTTCAGCACTGATATTAGCACGTTTTGTCCCTCAGCTCATCAATGTACCTAGAGGTCTATTGATATAAACGACGGATTTCAAGAGTCCCTACAGGAAAACAAAAAAAGATGAAATAAGTGAGAAGTCCAGGGACCTGGGCTGGCACTCAGCAGGACCTTTCAACCCGATATCCCAATGGTGCATACCTTATGCGCCACCTTGATATATAATAAGTTGGTATCGTCTCTTAACAAATGAGAATTATGTGTGAAGTAATCACAGCGCCTTTAAATTAAAGGTATAGCACACATCTCAGCACATCATAATATGAACACTCAGTAACCGACTCTTCATTACAGTCATCAATAACAATCATTGTTGACTTGAGGACCGCTGGGAGTGACCCAATCTAGTCCTCTTTTCCGGAAATTTCGGTCACTCCACCTCCGGACGTGTGTGTTCAGTCATATTCGGGCAGCATCTTGTGACAGTAGCAGCATCTGTTGACTATCACCGTCTAATGTTCAAAACAAAAACTAGAAGCTTATTCATTATTGCATAATTATACAGTGTGGTACTTTGTGATAAATGTGTTTGATATGTGACAGATTTATTTATATACGTGAGTGATTTTAATATTCTAACCTTTATTATCAATCTGTTTTCTTCTTACTCTTCTTTGATACACTTTGAAGTATGACATTTACCTAATATTTGTCTTCTGGTGACAGAGTTCAATGTTATAATTTTCATCAAGTGAAGAACCGACTAGAGCGCTGTAAGTATTATTTATATACCTGAACGAGATTTACTAGAACTTACCTCTTCTGTGTATGTTTGATTATAATAAAATGTAATTCTGTCCTATAGCAGTGAATGATAAAGTCTGAATTTTCAATCAGAACATAATGGCTGACGTAAACGTTGGCTGGTCCGCGTCTAAATTAAAGGTTGTGAGCATGACTTGTTATGGTGTAAACTGTATAATCATAAGCTTTAGGTTTATGTGTGTTACTTACATTCTGGTCTATACTTTATAATCGCTTTAGATTATATTTCTTAGATGTAATTCACGTCAAGGGAATTCTCTACACATCATGTCTGACTCATGATATATCCCTCGTCAAGAGTGGCCGCTGACTAAGGTAAAAACAATAGCAAGGAAAGATGTTTGTGGTGGCGGACAAGAATATATACTGTAGGTGCATAATAATGTTTATGTGTTAGTGTGGTTGGTAGTGCGTGTTACCTCAAAATGTGCTGAGTCATCAAATTTAAGTTTTCTTCACTTTTATATCTTATTTTATTAGTTTATTTATATACTGTATTCGTATAAATCATATACTATATACTAGTATATTAAACTACTAACATATTAATCCTCTTATTGAAAATGTAAAAAGTGTGATAGACAAATTTTATTTTTGATTAAATGATTGGCAGGTGTTTCATTCATTTGCCAAACCAACAAACACTGATTAAACATTAGTAAACAACTTAACGAACTTAGGTAACGAAATTTCTCTATTCGATGTCCAGCGATACTCAGTGAAATCATTTGAAAAACAAAATTTCTATGTGCCAAGATACATAAAACTAAAAAAAAAAAACTAGCTGGGGTACCCAACGTTGCCCGAGTTTGTTCTATATTACAAACTGTGATCCTGCACATCACAGATGTCCCTCTTCAACGTAGGAGTCCCCCCTCAATTTAAATATTCGCGATCATCCTCCGGGCCATTTATTTACGCCCTCATAAATCACAACTTGTAACATTTACCAGGTGGCGCCGGCGTCCAAGTAGCACTTACCGTACGACAACTTCCATTTATGAATATCTGTTTTCCCATCGTTTCGCTTGTGGTAGAAGCGGTACCGCTCTTGCCTCGCAAGTAAGATGTCACGGGTTCGATTCCCGGGCAAGTGGAAGTTGTTTGGACACTCTTCCTAGCCCCCTTGGTCCCTGTTCACCTAGCAGTAAAGTAGGTACCTGTTGTAAATCGAAAGGTTGCGAATTCGTATTCAGGGAAAGTTGTTGGAGCTTCTAAACTTGAACTGACACAATCCGGAGGAGTGGTGACCCGAGGATCACACACCCAACACAGACAAAACCAAATACGTGCGCTATTCGGTAACCAAATAAACGCAGTCGTGTAAAGCCACGGCACTATCTCTCCCACTACAATTCCCTTCCTAACCTCCTGCTCCTTCCTCTGTCCTCTTCCCTGCTCTGCCTTTCGCTACCAACAACTTTTGGAGCTTCTAAACTTGAACCATCGTTTTTAATTTTGTACCTATTTTAATGGGTTTGGGTTATGTTATTTTGTTTTATCATTTGCGGAGTTAATAAATCATTGGGTTGGGTAGGAGGGTGGTTTTATAACATTATATAAGTGCTGGTGCAGAATGGTGTTCCTACCTCTGGCAGGCCAGTAGGGGCACAGGTCACTGACCCACATCGGCTACTGGGGGGCGAAAATGTAATAATAATAACAATAATAATAATTAGTTCACAGTAAATATTTTTTAATAAAAAGTGCAAAATTGAAAATAAAATAATAATAATAATAATAATAATAATAATAATAATAATAATAATAATAATAATAATAATAATAATAATAAAGAACCATAAAGAAATACAAAAATGAAAAAAAGATCAAGAGTGAGAAACAATTGAGACCCTGTAATTGTGTGTAAATGAGGCAAAAAGTCAGATCAGCAACCTGGGACTTGGTCACAATTTTCAAGATGGCATATGGTAGCAGGGTCTACCATTGGACAACACATTATGCTTCCAATATCTTTCCAACGGCTAGTTCCTCCCTGTTTGATAGGTGCCTACTACCTACTACCTACCATATATATATATATATATATATATATATATATATATATATATATATATATATATATATATATATATATATATATATATATATATATATATATATATATATATATATATATATATATATATATATATATATATATATATATATATATATATATATATATATATATATATATATATATATATATATATATATATATATATATATATATCATCTGAAATGTGAATACAGGAACTTCGTGTTTCTTCTTTCCTTGTGGTTATCAATATATATATATATATATATATATATATATATATATATATATATATATATATATATATATATATATATATATATATATATATATATATATGTGCGTGTGTGTGTGTGTGTGTGTGTTAGCTTCAATAGCTTTGGTTTTGTGAACATATCAGCCTGGTGTAAAGTAAATAAAATTTTTTTTCGTTATTTCTATAAAAATGAGATTCTACTGTTTTCTCACTTGTAACAATAAACAACATGTGTACCATGGAATAAGAAAACTGTAAATGCACCACAGAGACAGGTAAGACAAGTAAGGGAATTAAAAACATGAATAAGCTTTTTATTGCTCAAAACAGTCAACGGAAGTAATAACAAATAAATATTCAGAAAAAATGTGTTGAGAGAAACAGATGAATACCGGTGAATAAATTATCTTGAAATTGTTGCTATCAGTGCAAGTGTGCTGAATGAAAGTATGAGGGAAACGTTTTATAATGTAATTAAAAGGTAGAAGTGAGGCAGCCAGGTAACAGAAGACATATGCACTAATAACGTCTCACACTATATAAACAGTAGTCGCCATTACATGACGAGGTCCATGCACAACGGATATTTATTGTGTATAAGAATGCATGAAAATTTTTAAACTTAAGTCTCCCCGACAGTTACTTTAACATGCTGTATATAGAGAGCTCAGGGAATGGCTGTGGCTTTTTCTGGTGTCGATGGTGTCTTGTTCTTCACCCAAAGAAATTTCCAGTAGATTTGACTGTGGTTTACTGTCAGCCCAGACGCCAGTAATTTACTGAGGATTTTACAGTTATTTCAGGCCTTATTGTAATTTATCGGACCTAACATACTTTAAGACATGGTTACATGATTTATGAATCATATAAAATTATATATATTTCATTTTAGTACCCGTTGTACAAGAAAATACTGTAAAATCTGTTTACAGAAATTTCTTTCAAAGTATTACATTAACGAGTCGTAAAAATTACAGTAATTTATTAGAGTGTTCTGTTTAGTACACCCAACATGACAGAATACCTATGACAACTGCCTTAATAATGATCTCTCAGATACTAAATTAAGAAAGTTTTGTTTCATTCTTTCGCAGAAACATGAAGCAACGAAGGTTATTCAGTCAAACTTCATATGCCGAGCGCACCGGAATTGTGTGGATGTGGGTAAATGGCCTGTCTGCTCGTGCCATTGCTCAAAAGACTGGCACCAGTGTGACCACTGTATGCAGGTGGACTAAACGTTGGAAAACTGAAGGAAATGTCAACACGAAACATCACACAAGAGCGACGCAGAAGAAAAACAACCTACCAAAGTCCAAGAATACTGTAGGTTATCAGACACCAAGAATCTCGTTGGATACTCCTCGTCGTCTTCAGTTTTACTCCGCAAGTGCGGTAGCTTCCTTCCCTTTGATGGAGCGAGAAACTTACTACTTCCCTACTTCTTACAGTGATCGTTGTAGGCTTTGTAAAATGTACCAGTATATTCCTCCTAAATTGTTACACTTAGACTTCAGAACAGACTTTAAGAATTATGCAGACTTACAGTACAAAAACAACGCATGTTACATTAGAACTGAATTTGTAAATAATCCATGAAGAGTGTATCTGTCATCCATGAAGCAGAGAAATAACTATGAATAGGAAATAATATATATCTCACGTTTACGTATGTTTAAAATTAGTGGACAACGGTTAACAATAGATCTGCTCAGTAAGTTATATTACAAGGAATCATTTTTATGAGAACGAGAAGTTTTCAGATATTTGCTGGTATGACTTGACAAAAATCTCTGGGGTGTTGGTTATGATCGTACTACTCTTGTACTATGTAGTGCAGACTAAACTTACTCATTTTTTTGATTAATATATGTCTATCATTTAATTTTGTTAACTTAAGATTCATTGGCTATGTACAGATACTGTACTTCATTTATAAATACATTAGTTACACTGTTTGCACTATAGCCTGAATTTCCGAAAAAGGAAAACATAATGAAACGGGTTGAATTTATCCTCCTTTTGTTCATTCAATAGTAATAAGCATACACATAGGTATATACAACTGATGAAACTGACTCTCCTCGGAGAAGCATACTATATTATGCTAAATGAACAGCAGCACTAACGTATGGATAAATAACACACATCTTCATATTCAAACCTTAGACACATGAAATATAATAATATAGTAAATATACTGTATTATAACCTGTAAATGACACATCAAATCAATTAAAATGTTGGATACATTAATCATAAGCAAGTTGAAAAAGAATGTTAGTCAATTAGTGGGAAAACTAACTCGTACCAACCCAAAATCGTACCAAACCCTTAACAACTTGTTAAAAAATCGAACTTAACAGACCATAAACGCCCGATCAACCAAACTAATAAAGTTCATTTATCTAATGACCTATATTTAATATCCAATATTTCTGTAGCTGAAAGCCAAGCAACAAAGCCAGTGACTCTGCGCTGGAGGTCGCTTACGGCGTCAAGTTCAATGCAGGTTTAATTTAGATTTAGGCGCGAGACAGGTAAACACTGGTTTGGAAATGGAGTAGTGAACGAGTGGAACAAGTTACCAAACATCAACATTAACTCGAACAGTCTGGGTAGCTTCAAATATAGGTTTAACAGATATATCAGCGATAGGGATGGGGTGTAAAAGAGACTGCCCATTATGGGCCAATAGGCCTGCTGCAGTTTCCTCTCCAGTCTTTTGTTCTTATGTAATATATTAATATAAAAAAAAATCACTGCTGCACTCACACACACACAGATTCAGATTCAAATTTGCCCCCGAGGGGGCTAGTTTATTGGGCACCCCCTTACATCCTGTGCAAGGTGAAGCGCAGAAGCGTTTACAGCTCCCAACAGGGAAGTATGAAAAGTTCATACTTGTCTTTATGACTCGTACATTAAGGGCGTAAAAGCCTGAAGGGTCATAGGTTATGTCAAGTTACATAAAGTGAGAGAATGATGAGTGTGTGGGGGGAAAGTTCCCGGTACATTTCATCTGTTTATGGCAAAGAGTGGCAGGTCCCTAATAATGTCAAATGCCAGGCCTGTGACTAGGAGGAGGGATATCTGGTCTGGGAGGGAAGAGGTGTTGGTAACGGCTGGGGACCTATAGGAGGAGGTCATAGGGCAAGTGAGGATGTAGTGAGAGAGGGTGTGAGAGTTGGGTTGGCCACAAAGTTTACAAACAGTGCGGTGAGGCTCAGGGTTGCCAATGTACTCCCATAGGTACCTGTACCCTAGGCGCAGTCTCATGTATATAAGCTGTTGAGATCAAGTCAGGGATTGATATTCTTTGTAGTGGCGGTTGTCGTCACCGGTTACAGCGTCATAGTGGCATAGTGTGATGCTACCCCGTTGTTTCAGGTGTGTCCAATTTTCGTTGAATGCCTCTCGTTGTGTGGCGTGTATGCGAGATTTGAGATGATTCAGGGAGAGGGCGAGAGTGGCTTCAATATCTTCTTCTTGTGTAGCTTCTTTGGCAAGCCGATCAACAGTGTCACAGGCAGTTATTCCTATATGTGACGGGATCCAAAGAAACTTGACACGGATGTTATCAGTTTGTTCTAGCCCGGCAACGCCGGCTAGGGTGTGTTGGGCGGCAGGGGAGGAGGGGAAGGGTAATTTAAGCCTCGCTAGCACAGAAGTGCTGTCACTGATTATAAGGAGGTTCCGGCGTTCATTGTGAGCATAGGTCGCCCCCTCATGAATGCCCGCGAGGATGGCTATGTTTCAGCATCAGTGGAGGAGGCCCAGTCGTGGACCCTGATTTTCCTGCAGGCCAGGCGCTCAGGAATCCACGCAGCTGCCCCAGCGCTGCCCAGCGTGGTAACAGACCCATCACAGTAGACGACGATAGGAGGGTGGGAGGTCTTTAGAGAGGAGGCGACATCACTAATCTGCTCAAGGCAGTTAAGTTTGAGCATATACCTCAGTTGGGTGGATTTACGACCAGGGAAGGTGTGGACGACAACATAAACACACGGGAAAGTCCACGGCGGTAGAGGCGGATGAGTGTACTCGGGAGGGAGAGAGGTCGAGGGGGTGTAGAGGTGATAACGCAGGATGTCAGCAGCAGTGTGGACGGGCTATAGTTGAGAGGGAGGGGGGAAGTAATGGGGACAGGCCGGCGCAGGAGGGTGTTAAGATGTGAGTTCAGTGAGCGCGACAGGGGAGTCGGTTGCTCACTGCGAAGAAGTTTAACACCAAGGATGGCATTGAGAGCAGTAATTCGATCGCAGACGGGAAGCAGGATTAGTTCGCGCTGCATGACTTCTATTCTGGTGGTCATAGGGCAGCCGAGGATGAGTCTCATCGCTCTGTTTTGGATTTTCTCTATGCTTTGTTTCTCGCGCTGGGAGGCAACTACAAGGACAGGAGAGGCATAATCTATGACAGCTCTGACGATGGCAATGTACATGAGACGTAGGACCCTGACAGAGGCTCCTTTGAGGCCGTGAGTGAGGGACTGGAGGGGCCTCGTTCGTTGGCGGCACTGGGAGATGACGTGGGCGGCGACAGCGGAGGTGGTGGCTCTGGTAGTGGCTCGCACAGGTAGACCAAGGTACCTGTAGGTGCGTACTTGATCGATGTCTTGTCCTTGCAGAGTCAGTGGTGTCTGACGCCGGAAGCGTGAGATGAACTTGGTTTTAGTGTGTGAGATGACTAGCCCGAGTGTTTGACAGGTCCGGGCGAACGTGAAGAGTATAGGTTGTTCATGTTGCACTGTAGTAATTTGGAGGAGAATATCATCAGCGTAGCTTATGATGTGACCGTCTAGGGCGCGCTCAGCAAAGATGTCGTTGAGGCGGCAGATGGAGTTCATGAGTACATTGAAGAGTGTAGGGCTGAGTACACCTCCCTGAGGCGTGCCAAGATCAAGGTCCCTGATCTTAGAGTAGTGGCCCTGAAAACGGACACGGGCCTGTCGATGGGAGAGGTAGTCAGCAATCCACGTGAGGAGTTTTCCCTTCACATCCATGTGAGTGAGGCCCTCAAGGATCACTTCACTGTTGGCTTTATCAAAAGCACCCTTGAAGTCGACGAAGAGGGAGGTTTTGGCGGAGGTGTCTGCCATGTAGTGAGCGATGCAGTGAGCAGTACTCTTTCCGGGGCGAAAACCATAGAGGTCAGGGTGCAGGTGGGCTTCAATTTTCCAGTGGAGGCGGTGGCGTATCATGCGCTCTATCATCTTTGAGAAGCAGGAGATGAGGGATATTGGACGATATTCATCTTGTCTGCCTGGTTTAGGGACTGGGATGGTGGTGGCAGTCTTCCATAAGTGAGGCAGCTGACCAGTATCAAAAGAGAGGTTAAATAGACAGAGGAGGGGGTTACCAGGGGTGGCAATAAGGGTATTTAACACATCATATGTGACGCCATCATCGCCTGGGGCGGTGGACCGACCACGCTTAACAGCATTTAGTAGTTCACACTGCGTGAAAGGCATGTCAGTGTCTGCAAATAGGTCTTGGTACTAGAAGATGCGCTGTCGGCGTTGTGGTTGCAGTGCGAGGGTGAGGTCTCGTACAGCGGGTGGTAGCGCATCAATGGAGGCGGCCTCCTGCCACGTCTGGGAGAGCGCCTCAGCCCGGGCAGCTGGTCTGGGGTGGAGCGCGGGTCTTGCGTTGGTGCCCCGGTCACGGTTAATGGTGCGCCATATATCACCTATAGATGTAGACTGGTCAATAGAAGAAGCAAAATCAAACCACTGCTTCTCTCGTGCGAGAATGATGGTAGATTGGAGCTCTTTATTTGTGCGCATCAAGAAGCGTAGAGAGTCAGGGGAGCTGGGAGATTTCTTCCACTGGTCGACTGCTATTCGGTGCCATACTCGGATAGACTTAACATGAGGGTCACGGTTAACGTTCCACTGACTCCTGGGCTGGCGGTTAGGGCGGCGGTGTTTTGGGACAGGGCGGAGGAGGTCAGTGCATTGTTTGGACAGATCAAGGTAGAGTTGGTCTGCGGTGGTGACAGTGTAACCCTGAAACCATTCAGCAATGGTAGTGATGAAGGCAGGTATGTTGGCAGGGGGTAGGCTGAGCCTAGGGCCCTTGGGTGGAGCGGGTATTCTCACATACTGGAGGGTAGTGTGGATAGGGAAATGGTCACTGTGGGGGGGAGTGGAGGATGCGGGTGGAGTGTGGGCGGTGAGGGTCAGAGTAGAGAGCTATGTAGTCAAGTTTCCCTCCCCCGATGTGGGTGGGTGATGGAGGGCAGAGAAGACGTACAGGGTCATCAGTGGTTTGTAGGTAGGAGAGCCAGGAGTTACCCCGGGAGTTTGAGTGGGGCCCCTGGGAGCCGAGACTAGGGTGACGGGCATTGAGGTCCCCCACAAGGAGGGTGGGGGTGGAGGTGATATGGTGTGGTAGGACAGGTACAGTAGGGGTGGAGGGAGGCACATAGACATTGACAATATTGAGGGACATACCTTTTAGTGTGATTGTGATGGCATGTGCGTCGGTGGTGTCGTCATCAAGGGGGACGTCGAGAGGTTGGTAGGGGACATCCTTCTTGACGTAGATCCGTAGTCCACGTGCATGGCTTCGTGGTAGTCCGTCGATGCGGAGAACAGGAGTGGATGGGCTCTCAACACATGTGTAGCCACTGAGCACATAGGTACCAGCAGCACACCGCGTTTCTTGGAGGCACAGCACGTCGACGTCTTCAGTGTAGACGTAGGTTTTGAGGGCACCAAACTTGCTTTGCAAGCCGTTTATGTTCCAGGTGAGTACCTGCAGTCCTGTAGCGTTGCTATCCATTGTGGTGTATTAGACTGATTACCCCTGACGTGGACGGATGGGCCTTAGGTGCCGGCATGTCGGTGGAGTATGGGTAGCCGGGGGTGGAGTCCTCAGGTCCAATAGGTAGCCCTGGTGGAGACAGCACAGACACAGGAGCAGGCGAGGCTTGAGGTGGGTAGACAGGTTGAGGCACCACGTGACGTAAAGATGAGGCAGGGCTTGGCTCGGGGGCCCCAGTACACACAACCTGTGAGCAGGGGGGGCTCACAGGGGGACTACCAGCTTGTGTCAAACCAAAAGAGGGGAGTGACTGGGTGGCAGCAAAGGGCAGGAGTTGGCGGTGTAGGTCGGAGATGGCGGTACAGAGTGTAACCAAGAGTTTCTCAACATGACTGGTAAATTCTTGGAAGAGGGACATGATCTGTGTCATGTCACTGGAGACGGGTTGTGGGGGGGCACTGGTGGCGGCACAAGGCTTGACAGCGTCAGGGTAGAGACGGGGTTGTGGGGGGGCACTGGTGGCGGCACAAGGCTTGACAGCGTCAGAGTAGCGACGGGGTTGTGGGGGGGAACTGGTGGGAACACGAGGCTTGATAGCGTCAGAGTAGAGA